ACTTAAATGTTTCAGATCATCAAACAAATTTAAATATTAGACAAAGAGGCCATGAGAATGGGATGCTACCAGAATAGACACTATACATGCTACAGAGAAGTGGCCCCAACCTTTTAGCTTGCGACCCCTTAGAGTTAAGCAGTTAAGTTGTTTGTGTGAACGACCGTTTGAGCAGTTTTTCATCAAAAGGACTTTTGAGGCCTGAAGAGTTGAAAACATCTAGTATTTGACAAGAAAAGAGCTAAACAATTATAGAAAAGCCTGTATACCTTTAAAGATCTGGAGACCACTAGAGGTACTTGTGAGATGTGATGTGAACAGGATTCTGTTCTTAGCCCAGCCCTGCTCTTCTGATGCAAGGCCAGACTGATGGCGGTATGGAGGCATGACACCAATTCATGTACCTGTTTTTGGGGGGGCGTTTCCCAAGCGTCTATAGATGCAACATGTTAAAAGGTTATTTTATTGTCATACAACAGGGTTGCACAATGAAATGCAGATTTCAGTCCCGTTTAGCTACACAACAAAACAAAACCAGAAAACAATATACAGTCTGTGGAGGGTGAAGAATCAAAAAAACACAGGACATGATGTTTGTCTGTCCTTTGTGCCAAGGTGCTGAGCACTTCCAGGAAATTTTCAACAGCTTTGGGCCACTTCACACCAGGTTTGTGCCCTTTGATCTTTTTCTCCATTGGAGGTCTCTGTGGTTGGGTGGGCCACTCCACCGACATTTCAGTGCTTGTATTTCCCTCCTCAGTGACAGGGGTGCTGATGCTCTGCGAACTTTGGTTTGTGTCCCGTCGCTGTGCTTCATTTGACTGATTTGACCAGTTGCTTCGTAAGAAGTACTGGTCAATGCGAGGCCCATGTCTCTGCTCTCTCAAACACTTTTTCCTCCCTTGGTGGATCTTCAGGCCTATTGCTGATGTTACTTTCTCCCAACCACAAATGCACACCTGAAGCTTGTGTCCTGCTGCTGTTGTGGTTGTTTCATGTGTCGTGCTCTCTTTGTGTGTAGTCGTTTCCGTTCCTAGGTCTATTACCGTGTTGTCAGTAGGTGAGCAATGTTGCGCCCCCGCTCTCGCAGGCTCTAGGGGTATGTTCCTTTGTTTACTTGTCGTAGCATTTGAATTAAGGCATCTCACAGCCAGAGTAAAGAAGCTGTTCTGAAGTCTAGTGGTACGGCAGCTGATACTTCTGTATCTCTTGCACGGCGGTAGCAGAGTGAACAGGTTGTGGTTGGGTGGGTTTTGTCTTATAATATCTTTTGCACTCTTTGCAGGCACCTCTTGTCACCAATATCACTGATGCTAGATGTAATGTGTCGCAATGATGTTCTTGGCGGTTTTAATCACCTTCCTGTCCTGAGTCGTACACAGTTTGTAATGTTTCCAGTCAGGATGCTTTCTATTGCTCCTCTGTAAAAGTAACAAGAACTCGGTACAGGAATTTATTTCTTCCGAAATACACCTGTTTATGAGCTTTCTTTACCAGGATGGAGATGTGTGATGAGCATGTCAGGTTGTTTGTGATGCTGATTCCCAGGAAATTCAACAATCAGCTCCTTGGTTTTACTGACATTGAGCAGCATCTGAGAAGTTTAGAGGGGGATTGTCTCTTTTTGGTGGAATTGCTAACAACCCACAGACATCTGAAGGGGTCAGAGGCCAAATACCTCAGTTGAGTGCAGTTTTTGAGTAAATCTACTTAGTTCCATTCCACCATTGATACAGTTCCTTTATAACCCAAAGTACAGTCCACTTCAATAGACTTCTGAGGAGACAGTGTTAGTAAAGTGTTGCTAACAGAAAGAGTGGATTTAGCACTTGAAACAGTGGGACGATAGTTGATTTGTCAATCTCACACTTAGTGAAAACCTCAGTTGAACTCTAGAGGGCATTTTTGTCCTGAATGAGTACTTTAGAGTTTGTCACCCATCTCTAAAATTGGAATCACACTTATCAGTAACTATTTCAATGTGGAAAAGTATTATTTTAAAATAGACATGACAAAGATTTGTGTTCGAACCTGACATGAACAATGAACGGTGTCTTTAGCACTCGCAAAAATAATCTTTTGGATATTGTTCCACCAGTCTTTAAGTATGGGACATGTCCAACGAATATGAAGAAAAGAGGCACCACTCCCTTCACATGTCCAACAAGGGTCCACTGGTATTCTTTTCCAGTTACAGTATATAACAGTTTTGTTTGCAATACCATGTGTACATTGTGTCACTGAACTACGGCATCCAATCATCAGTAGATATGTCCATATAACTGATCTTTGAGCTTGATCAAAAGGTTGTACAATTGTCCCTGATGTAGGGATGAGAACTTTCAAACATGTCTCCAATATTGATCAAATGCATCCAAAAATATTTCATCCAATCTATTTCTAGGTAGTTGAACTGTAATTAACTCAAATTAACATTGATTATTGTTCATCAGTATTTTTGCTCAACAAATCACATTTTTTACAGACAAATTGAAGACAAATTGAATTTCATTCCCATTGACAGATGCACAAACCTTGTTCCTGAGTTTGATATATGACATATGTGGTGACTACAAGATACCAGACACATACACAGTGTACATGTGGAGTACAGTTACATTATGTCCTCACGGTGAGTTTGTGTTTCAGCATGGCTCTGACTTGCTTGTGTGAGGCTTAATCACTTACAGGGATTAGGAAAGGTGTGCGCATGTGTGTGGACCTGTGACTTCTGATCACCACTTAAGAAAACGCTCTCTCTGTACTTCACTCTCCCAGTGAACAGCAGTGTGTTTGTCCTGGAGACAATGAGGCTGCAGTCGTTGGTAGTACTGTAGATGACAATAATGTATGTAAAGAGTTCTTCAACGGGCCAACCGCACTTGTTCTTGCAGTGGTGCCCTCGAACAGATTGACATCTTTACATGATTTTTATTAGATATAAAGGATGGAATAGCTCTGTTATAGAAGTGGGCCATGCCTTTAGTTTAGCCTACAGTTCACCTTACTTATATCTGCATAAACTGCGCAATAACTTCTACACCAAATCAACTATGCAATACTTCCATTAATACTGCATTTATACTTGTGTTATATACTGTAGCATTATGCACATCATTTACATTCTATTTAAGTAGTTCTTTATTTCTTATTTTCTTACATTTCTTTATGCTTTTATATATGAGCCACTTTAACATACATATTTCCCCCTATGGATCAATAAAGTATTTGAATATTATAGTTTTTCCCTATTTTATTGTTTTCAAATATAATTTGCAGTGCCTGTTTGAAAGGTGCGATACAAATAAACTTGCCTTGCCTCAAAGTCTGTATTGAAATGGACAGGTGTTTACATTTCAACAGATATTTGCCTATCATAAAAAAGTTGTCTTGTGTCGATTATTTAGTGTAAATTGTGAAGTGCATGCGTCTGTTTTCAATATATAAATAATAACATGGGCTTTTCCTAACTTTTTGCAATTTCTTCTTCGCATCCACACTGTATAAATGTTTTAAAGTGGTTAGAAAAGAAAACACATAATTTAGAGATGTTCTGCTCCAGTCCAGTCTTCTGTGTGGGTGTCCCAAGAACGCGCACGCAAGAAGTTCCTATCCTGTCGAGAGCGCGAGATATGACGTAAGTTGCTTGCCGCGCAGTGATGATGGCGGTGCGTGAACGCGCAGTAAAAGTAATGGCTGCTCTGGATCGGCGGGTGCCTAGCCTCGATGATTTCGTGGGTCAAAGCTGGACTGCCTGGGCCGAGTGGGCCGGTGTGACAGCGGCGGATGGTAAGGAAGCACACTGACGCAAACACTGGCAGCTACGAAGCAATTTAACCAAAGCAGTCTAGTTTATTTTCGTGGAAACGGAGGACAGAGCTAACCATGTTACCCAAACAAAGACCCTGCCGGGTCCTAGTGCTGGATGGGTAACATGTTGCTCTCTCCCAGGTCCCACTGCATACGCTGTCTTCAAGAAAAAACAAGTGGTAGTTATTCAGATATAGTCATTATAGTGTGTGCTTAACAGCGGTGGCCATGAAACAAGCTGCCAGTGTTTAATGGATGCGTTTCATTTTAGTGAAACCAGCTGGGCAGCGGTGGCATCAGAGCGGAAGGAGGCTAGTGTGGATGGTTGGGCGAGCAACTTCTTGCTGTGGAAAGCTAGGCTAGCGAGCTAACAAGCGAGCCAGACTAGCCATTGACAACGAGGCAGTTAGCGTTAGCATGCTAATGCTAGCTTGGAGGCTTGAGTGTAGACACCGGTGATGGAGGAGGAGTCTGATGCTGTTGCCACCATGTAAATGCTGGCCCAGCCTTTGATATGAGCTAACGTTACTCTGTGTTCTTTTCGCTTCAATTCAATGTTCTCTTCTCACTGCTAGCGTCAGCGCCTCCATTTAACTGATATTAACGTGTCTGTATGCGACAGGCAATCTCGTGTGTTTGACTTCTGCTCCAAAAGTGCTTTTGCCCTTCCCATCTTTAAATATATGCGCTCACTCATTGTCTGGCATCCCTACAACTGCTAATTTGTCCATAACCATCAAATATAGTCCTCCTCCACCACACAATACCTATAGCTAGCTGCTTATTGTTGTTAAAAACTGACAAAATGACAAGCTAAAATGGTCAGCAGAAAAACAGAGGACCTGCATATCAGTCCTTTGTATAACACAGTTTGAGGGCCTGTTCATGTGCATAATGTGTGCCATACGGTTTTAGGCTTTGACTTGCAAGTGAACCTGACATAGAATTTTTGGAAAACATGACCTCACAAGGGGCTTGTTGAACATGTGCGTGTATGTGTGATGTTACAGGGCCTGATGGGGATGAGTGCAGCAAGAATGGCAAAAAGGCTGCAGAGGCTATGTCACTCAGTAAGGAGGGTAAGTCACACACTATCATCCACAAGACATAGTAAAGTCTGTTGTTGTTTGGGACATCTAAAAACAAGAAAGCATAAACTGATGGCGCTACCAGTGTGAGCTTGCGGGACCATGCAAGTACGTCGACCTGTAAAACCTCAGTGACCTGTGCCTCAGCTTCTCTTTGGTCTGCAGCCTTGACCAGAGACAATGGAGGTACTGCTTTGCAGAGACCAGGGCGAGTATTAAAGCTGGTTAGTGTTGTGTGATTAGGCATCTTCTGGAACCCAGCCTGGCTGTCTGTAGCAGCAGCTGTATGACAGACACTCCCTGTTTGTGTGTGCGTGTCAGAGCATGACAAATCCAATCAAAAGACTTTGATAGTGTTTGTAAGTATGTGCACCTTCTCCCACTCATGCTGCATCTATGTCACATGGGGGTAACAGCCAAAACATGATGATAAAGAAGAATGAGCTGGGGTCCACACATTTACTTTGACTTTAACTTTAGAAGTTAAGTCAAGTTTTCTCTTGTCAGTTTTTTTCCCTCACTTTGTTTATATTTATTTTGGGATTTGTTTCAGTTGATGGTTTTACAGAAATCCTAACATTGCCAGATCAATATCCATCTGTCCAGTGTAGATTTTAGACGGCATGCTGGCGTGATGTTATGTGACACAACAGCGTCTGCGTCTCGTGTGTAGACCTGTGATGCTGGCTGTCCCTTTTACTCAGACGTCGATTCGGTTCTGTGACTACCTCCGCTGCTGCCTCAGCAACAATGCTCCCCACCACCACCATTCTGTGTTGGTGCTTTCTAAAAGTACAGCTAGGTAGAATAATGACGCAACAGTCCCACTTTGATCAGGCTGTGTGAAAGAGTCTTGAGACACAACTCTGGTGAAGTCATTTTAACATCTCATGTCCTTTGCTTCTTCTGATCAACCAGCAATACAACTCTTTAGAACAAATATCGTCTGTTAACGATCAGTGGTCGATCGATTGGGGCAACCCTCACATTAATGTCCAGCCATTGCATTTCATAATAACCTAGTAAAAGACTCACAAAATGGAATTGTTAAATGTTTATATTACTGATTACATCATTACCAGTAGATGACTACAAGTATTTCCTAGATGACAATGTCAGAATGAGGAAAGTTTGGGGACACTTTGCCATGTTACCTCTTCTGCAGTCTGTGTTTATTGTATTCCCTCTCCTTGAAGACATGTCCATCTTTGGCCTCTACCCCGGCCATGATGACTTCTACCTGGTGGTGTGCAGCCATTGTGGCCAGGTAGTGAAGCCACAGGCATTCGAAAAGCACTGCGAGCGACGGCACGGCCCTCTGGCCAAGCTGTACGCCCGACTGCGCTCTCCCACCCCTGCACCCCAGGCCCAGCCGAGGCCCCACCACGGACATTCCCCTTCCCATTGGACCAATTCTGCTTCATCCTGGGAGGGTCGCGGCCAGTCGGTCGGGCAGCCACGGGCGGCCCCACCTTCGCCTTCCACTCCACCCCAGCACAGACACTCCAAGAACTCCAAGGATGGAGCACGGTAAGAACAGAGTGAAGCGCTAACCAGGGCTCAGGGGCACTAATGCAATACTTCCTTTATTTGTTTGTTTGTTTACTTAAAAACAACTTTAGTTATGTCCATCAGGGCTCAATAATATATTTTAAAAGTGGTTGCAAGGCTGGCAAGCAGCCATTAGCTTTTGGTTGCTGAAACTGAAAATACGGTTGCCAGTCAACTTATATGGAGTAATTAAGATACTATGCAGTTATCTGTTAGCTTAATAATGAAAATGTGACATGTACAGTATACATGTCATGTGTATGCTTCACTAGTATCTCAGCGCTGACTGGTTTTTATTCTGACTAACGGCAATATTTAAGTACCATTAAAGAAACGGATATTAAAAATGTGCTTTATTTTGGGCTGTTTGTATTTATATGTTAGAAATAATTGGTTGCCAATTGTTTAAAATGGTTGGCAACCTGGCAACCCTTCCTGTTGATCCCTAGTAGGGCTGAAAGATGTTTTTATAAATTGCCAAGAACAGAAGCCTGAACTTGAATCAAAGTAATGTTCGACATTTTGGGAGCTATGCTTTTTCACTTTCTTGCAAAAAGTTTTGATGAGGATCGATACTACTCGTTCCTGCCAGGTAAATATAGGGCTACAGCCTTATTAACCAGTTAGCTTAGCCTAGCATAAGCCAAAAGTCTATACAAGCAACAAATCGTGGTTTTGGGGGATTATGTGCCGGACTATTTCTTATGCGGGACCAGTGACTTCCGTCAGAGAGGTCAAGAAATAGACTTGCACACAACCCCAGTGAAACGTTTCAAACTTTTGTTTTTGGGTGGTTCAAACAAACGATACAGTGTACTCATTAGTAAGCTTTAGAGATGCTGATGATTATTATGAATCCTAGCAAATTAAGGCTCATTACCTTGTATGTCTTTATTTTTTGCGTTTCATAATCACTGTGTTTGTGTGTGTGAGAGATATATACGTATATATATATGCTGATGTCAAGCAGCCAAATTTGGGTTGCAAATGTAACTGGTTCTCTTTAAAGTTAAATTAAATAGCCCGTAACTGAGGCAATCATTTCAATACCATTTTGATTACATTTTTGAGGACATCAGTTTGTGATAACAAATATAATATGGTTATATATGTATTGATCCAGCCTCAATTGCACTAAATGTATATGAACAATCTCTGTACTGACCACATTATGCTGTCTCTGATTGTGTGATCAGGTTAAAGCCAAACAATGACTCTAAACAGGGAGGGTTTTTTGCAGATAAAACGTAAGCTGTATATATCTATTTTTGTTTTTTGTTTTACATTATTTTGCCAGTGTTGTTAAAAGTTAAGCAGTGCATCTAATTTTGGACTTGGCCTTCCTCTTCCATCACCCAGACATTCCCCGCTGGAGAAGTCCTCCCACAGCGGCCACACAGAGTCCTCAGTATTCAAGCAGCCGCCGTCTCTGGAGCCTCCAATGAGCTCTCCACCGCAATCACTCAGAGATCCGCCCTGGCCGCACGGAGGCACCCCGCCTGGTAGGCCTTCACCCAGCGACCGGCCCCCAACCCAGAGCCAGAGGAAGGACTCCCCTCTGGGCTCTGCAGGGCTAGGCCACCGGATCCCCAGACCCTACAACAAAGTGGCCTCCAGTGAGTACAAATAGAGCAATTTGTGTAATGTGGAAAGAGTATGCAGTTGACGGATATATACTTATCATCTAGTTTGATCTACTGGTCATTTTGACCTGCAAAATAATCATAGTCCTATCTCTTAGATACAAAACTGAATTATAGTAATCATAATAAAGCAGTATTTTACAACTCTGCAAAAGTTATGACGACAATCTTTTTTCTACTGTCTTGACAACTGCAAAGTAATGTCCGTACGCACCAACACACGCAGCGGTGCTAATGGCATTCATTGCATGCTTAAAAAGTAACAATTCTGACGCTGTTGCTGTCACAAGCAATCCCAAAACGTTTATTGTCATTGGTTTGGCTAGTTGTAATTGCGTATTTCCTCTGGATAGCACACGCCCAAGAAAGAGAGACAGAGAGGGTGAGTCTGGTACTACCCTTTCTTTAATGAATACATACTTTTGGAAGGTTTAAAACGATCAAATATGGATTGAAACAGGATATTGCGTTACATAAAAACATGTTGTGAATTTTCTATCTTTTTTAAAATAAATTTTGACTTTTGGACTTAACAACACTCTTAAATTATTGAAAACACTTTGATTACACAAGTGGAAACAATCCTACGCATCCACCACTGTGATCTAATTCTACAAAATTTGCAATACTATTCACTACCAAGCCTGTTTGTAGTCCTCACTTCAGTGGTCTCTACTGTGGAGAGCCCCGTACTTGGTGAAACACGAGAGCAGAGGATATTAATGATTGTTGGAAATTTTTGGAGCGGTGCTCATAATTTGCTGCAGAATGATTTTAGAATTCGAAGGTCAACGTTATCAATGTAGCTTCGGACTATTCGGTATAGCCCTCATTTAATTGGAAGCGTGTCTTGGCAGACGAACCACTAAAGAAAGAACGTGGCTGAATGGCCTCCTGTGTAGTCAGGATGTCAAAAAACACACGGTGGCCGGAATCCAGCTAGTAGAAAACATTTTGGTGGAATTTTATAAAATTTGACGTGTTTTTGGTAGAAATACTGTTACAAATACAAGTCCTGAATTCAAAATGTTACTTAGTACAAAATATTGGCATCAAGACATAGACTTCCACGAGTGAAAGTAGGCTACTCATTATGCAGAAGGGCCCATTTCAGAATAGTATTACTGTATGTCATTGGAATATATTTTTTGTATGTGTTCATCACTTTAATGTTGCAGCTTATTTTAACTGCTTTATATACTTAATAATCAGGGAATATACTACTTAATACACCATAGTTTTTGTATTAGGAATCTGAATCTGGGAAGTGGCCTTACTACTTACTAATATTGTCAAATAAAAGTAGTGAAGTAAAAAGTCAAATATTTCCCTCTGCTATGGAATAGAGTAGAAGTATAACTTTACTTGAGTATTTCCATTTTATGTAACATTATCTAGAAATACTCAAGTAAAGTTCAAGTACCTCAAAATCATACTTGAGTACAGTTCTTGAGTTGCCTAAAGATAAATGATGCATTTACCTTTTTAAGTTGTGCAACATTTCCTGCTGAGTCTCACAGAAGCCTGTGGGAAACCCTGTGCACTGACAGCACTATGAGCTGTTGCTCTGTTGTGATTTGTTGACTGTGTGATGCTGTAGCTAAAATGCTCTCTGTGTTTCCTCAGAGAGGGAGTGTGACTTGGACAAACACTGCGGCGTTCTTGACCCTGACAGGAAGAAGGTCTGCACTCGACTCCTGACATGCAATGTAAGCTCCAAACACACAGCTCTGCTTCTCCACACCAACGCCCTACTTTCTTGTGCCTCAGACTCTCATGTCTTTGAAATGTTTCTTTCTCATTTCTCTCTTTCTTCTTGTTCTATTTTTTCCCTCACTGTTTCTTCTGTGAAGTTCAGTCAGAGGTTGAGAGGCTTCATCCTCTCCCCTTAGCTTTTGAGCCAATCAATACACAGTTTGTGGTCTCTTCATTCGTCAGCCAACAAGTCCCACGACATGTTTGGCATAGTTCTTTAATCGTATAGTTTACAGCACACAGACATATGTCTATGGTAGAGATATCCCTGACACTGACGATTTTTATAAATGCATTCAAACGTATCTTTTTTTTTTTTCTTTAAGAAAGATGTAGATGTTATTAATTAAGCTGTTGTTGCACCACCCGCCTCCAGGACAGCTTCAGTACTCTAAGTGTGTGGAACTCTGCTAAAGGCATGAACTCCATTCTTTTAGAAGATATTCCTCCATTTGGTGTTTAGATGATGCGGAGAGTGCTGTTGAATACACGGCTCCAACACCTCCCATAGGTGTTCATAGCTCTGCTTCTGGCTGTGGACCCAGCTGATCAGCAGCCCGCTGCTCTGTAACCAGTTAGCATGTGAACACGGTGGAACTAGCAAGCTAAATGAGAGATTAATGCTTTATCAACACACTATTGTCACAGCTCAGGAATGTACATTGCTATCACCAGATAATCCGTCATTAAAACTGCTTCACCAGATGTTGTAATGTGCTGATAGCTTAATGTCCCGTCCACAGAAAGGAGAGAACAGGCTTGTGCTGTGGTTGTAATGCTACACAGTGGTTACTGAAAAAGTAAGAGCGATAGACGCTGTGTGGAGAGGAGGTGGTCTGATTAGAGGGCGTTAACATTCTTTTATTTCATAATGTAGACTAGTGCCTAACGGTCCACATCATCTCACAATTGACGGCTTTAAAACAGTAGATAGTAATTTTCAACAATGAAATGCAATTGTAAGAGTTTTCAAACAAAATACACTGCAGTCACTCCTTGTTACTGGTGATCACTGACTGATACCGAGTGGTGGAAATGGCCCCCAGCACAGGAAGAGTCCTTATTCGGTGGCTGCTGTGTGAAGGAGGAAGTGAGTGTGAGAGGCCACATCCAGCCGAATAGAGACAGGATGACCTGATTGACGGGAAAGACATGCACGACTTCTACCTGCTCTGTAGGTGACAGACTGTTCTCTCTTCCACCTGCTCCTAGGAAGGAAACACCTCATGTTGTCATTTCAAGGTTTATAAGCAACACTGATGTATCAGTTCAATGATAATGGAAAAAGGGACCAAACAATGAATGGATTCGTTTTCTGAGAAATCTCATTATCTGGTTCCAGCTATAACGGTAGATTTAGATTTTGCTGTTTGATTTCGTTGCAAATTTAATGTTTTTTTAAAAAAAATATATACATACACTCTCTCACCGGCCACTTTAATAGTTACATCTTGCTAGTACCAGGTTGGACCCCTTTTGCCTTCAGAAGTGCCCTAATTCTTCGTAGCATAGATTTTAACTTTATTCTTCACAGATATTGGTCCATATTGACATGATGGCATCACGCCGTTGCTGCAGATTTGTCGGCTGCACATCCATGATGAGGTCGGAGGTCTGTGTTTTTCCTGCACCGCTGAACAAGTGCCGTAAATGCTGGAATAAATTTGCTGCATAAAAAATATCCTCCAAAATTAAAGCACAAGATTTTTTTTTTTTTGTCAGGCAAACTCACTTAAAACGGGTCCTCGACCCACCAGTTGAGAATCACCGATGTAGGAGACATCGGTCTGTGTGACCTCTGAACCGAAAAAAAAACCACAACAAAAAACAGCTGGGGCTCTGCAAGTGTTCTGGGAGGCTACGCTAACTAGCTTAACGAGAAAACAACAGCAGCAACACGCATTCTGCTACACACTCAAGGGCACGGGCTATTAACATATTAGATGTAAAAAACAAACGCAGTTGACTTACCAAACTCCATGCTCCTTTCTTTGTTGATGAAGAGTTTCATCCCAGTTAAATCCCAACTCCCAAATCCGTTTCTGCTCCTCCTTCAGCCATTGAGTGTTAAAAAAACAAAGCTAGGTAAAAAAAAAAAATAAACTACACCAAGCAAAATGCAAAAAATGTCATAATTTCTTCCATATCTTTCAATTTGAACTCTCACTACTCTGACTAAGCCTCTCTTCTTACCTAGAGACACAGAGGTGAAATCTGATTGGATAAAAGCTGGCTCGCAGGCTCTGATACATCAAAGAATATGCCCAACATGTCAAACTAAAGATCTGATTGGTTGAACACTATGCCAAGACAAGAGAAGGCTTTGCAGGCCCTGACAGCCCTGGCAAACACCGTCGGGGCCTGCAAAGCCTTCTCTGCTGGCCTAAACAGAATCACAAAGTTATAGCTATTTTATAATTTAATATTTTTTCTTAAATACACTACATGTATTATAATTTATAAAATTATTTCCCCCTTTATCTTATTTTCTCATTGCACAGCTACTGTCTTCCTCAGTTGCTCTGCTTCCAGTGCAGCTTGTTTTAAGTAGAGCTTTTATCCAATCAGATTTCACCCCTGTGTCTCTAGGTCAGGGGTCTTCAATGTTTTTCAGCCCAAGGACCCCCAAACTGATAGAGAGATGGAGCAGGGACCCCCGACTATACATATTGTATAAAATTGTGTTTTATATTAAATGGGCGTAGTACCGTGTATAAACATACCTCTTTATTGTGCATTCAATATAGGGTTTTAATTTCCCGTATGATATGAATTTTTCATACACCGTCATACAGCCGAAACAACTTCTGTTGCTCTAAAACAGGCAGCAAAATATATTGATCGCCGCTGTGAGCGCTACTTCTTGTTCTTCTAGTTTTACGGCAGTTGGCATCCATGTTATTGGTGCATTACCAGTGCCACCTTCTGCTCCACAGTGTGGATCAGACTGAGCGTGACTGTTGGAGCTAGTTCTCTTAAATGTATTGAGGGAACCCTAGTCAACTTCAACAATTATTAACAATTATTAACCCACAACTAACGCTCTTTAACAGGACAAAACACCACGACACAACAGTTTGTGACACATAAACAATTTGTAACAATAATAAATGTACATTTATAAAATTTCACCGCCGAACTGCATGCTGGGTACAGCTCGCTGACAACAGTCTGCTAACAGTTGGGAGAGGCTCTGTCACTCCAGTAACATTACATTAAAGAACAGAACAGAGCGATGCAGGATGAACACAGACTGAACAACAAAAGGTATTTTGGTCAGACACACATGCAACGCTGATTACCATGTAATATGTGTGGTATTTGTTATTAATGTAAGTTGGTACATACAGGGTGATAAGAAGCTGTACATGGACCCAGGGGAATGTAGGTGAAGGAAACAGGAAGTGGCGGACCGGAAGACACGCCACACAAACAGCTGTTCACCGCTCGCTGGCCGGCCGGTTCTTTTCGGCGTTAATTAATTAATGCTTTAACACGGAAAAAAGAAATACCGTGGTATACCGTGAAACCGCCAGAATCTTACAAAATACCGTGATATGCATTGTTGGTCATACCGCCCAGCCCTAATTCAATACTAAGCTTTTCAAATAATACACAGGTTCATATATTCATGTTTTTATTTTAAACATGTGCGAGGTACAGTGAGTAGGGAGGCCGTGCCACTGCCATTTATAAACATACCTTGTCCGCTGATACCAATGCCAATATCAACATTGTCTGTCAATTGCATGATAACCATGCATACAAGCTATTCAGATTGATGTTTTCATTTTAAACATAAATGTGGAAATGAAAAATGAGTGATGGCCTATTAGTGCCACTGCCATGCATAAAGATACCTGTTATCTTTCATACAATACTGAACTATTAAAATAATGGACACAATCATGTTCAGAGAAAAACAAATTTATTTTTTTTCAAACATTTCGCAGTACCTCCGCGGACCCCCTAGGGGCCCCTGTTGAAGACCTCTGCTCTAGGTAAGAAGAGAGGCCTCAGGCCTGCAGACTCACAAGTGCTTCCATGTGCAGTTTAAGTGAATGGGGACGATATTGTTGATTGTCATAGTATTCAACCAATCAGATCTTTAGTTTGACATGTTGGCCGTATTCTTTGACGTGTCAGAGCCTGCCACCTGGCCAACAACTACGTCAGCATTACGTGCAGCTTAGTTTCCATGTGCAGCTCTGCAGTGAGGTACAGCGTGTGCTGCGATTGGTCAGTGGGCGAGCACGTGACTATCGTGAAACGATCACGTGATGCAGCTCAGCCAATCAAATATGGGCATTCTGACAAGTTTCCTGACTCCAGTGAGATGTACACACAGTGCGACACAGGGGGCTGAGACGAGGAAAGAGGTAGCAGAGCAGTACCTCTCTCATGGAAGCTGTAAAATTAAAATCATAAGATGGACTCCAATAGAGAAGAATTGGTCGCGGCTTGTCATTATGGGGTGTTGGTGGACCCTGCAGCCAGACCAGTTGAGAACCACTGTCCTACATGATCGCAGAAAAAAATATTTACGTCAATTTAAGCTTCTGCACGTTGGTGGACAGCCATTTTCAGGTCTCTCCAGAGATGCTCAATTGGGTTTAGGTCAGGGCTCTGGCTGGGCCAGTCAAGAATGGTCACATTCCGAAGCCACTACTTTGTTATTTTAGCTGTGTGCTTAGGGTCATTGTCTTGTTGGAAGGTGAACCTTCGGCCCAGTCTGAGGTCCAGAGCACTCTGGAAGAGGTTTTCTTCCAGGATATCTCTGTACTTGGCCACATTCATCTTTCCTTCAATTGCAACCAGTCGTCCTGTCCCTGCAGCTGAAAAACACCCCCATAGCATGATGATGCTGCCACCACCATGTTTCACTGTTGGGATTGTATTGGGCAGGTGATGAGCAGTGCCTGGTTTTCTCCACACATACCGCTTAGAATTAACG